GTGCTAGTTTCCAAATTAACTACAGCTTCAGCTGGTGTGCATTGTCCAACATCGGAAAATTGGCAAATTTGCTCTTGCTTGTTTGACAGGTTCAAAACTCTAACAGGAATTAATCCGTCCTTGTTCCTTTTCACCAGGGCATTCGCTATTAGGATGTTACTGTTTCTGTTTTCTGCTGGTTCCACCACCCACAACTTCTCGGCTCCACAATCTCCATTCATTGGTACCCATATTATTGCTTCGGCACAGGGCGGTATTATCTCTGGATGGTCCGTGGTCAGACGTCTAATGGGTGTACTTTCATCGTAGCCCACGTTTAACGGAATTTCGACGTTAGACCAGGTCATCACACGTTCTTTCATATCCAGATTGATACCAAAGGCAATCATAAAATCTGCGCCTATTATCACTTCGTCTACGATATCGGCAACTATAAACTCGTAATTCTCCGATTTATTGGCAATAGTTAGTCTCAGGGTAATCTTGCCGTGTACTGCCGCGGGCTCCCCCGTTGCTGTGCGCAGTCTGACTCCATTAAGTTGCGTTATTTTTCCCTTTACCAGATCTGATCTTACGATGGACTTTGATGCGCCAGTATCTAACGTCAGAACTCGCTTATCACCATTGATGTACCCAGTTGTTGTTAGGTTGTGACTTTCCTGTTGTACTATTGCTATGGAGATTGTGGGGCCATCGTCGATGGGAGCCAGTTCATGCCCCGCTGGACTGGCTCGATTTAGTTTAACTGTGACTCATTGGTGGACTGTTGGGCCATTCTTCTACCATCTTTCGTCGGAGGTGGTGACGATGACCTGGATCGTTTGCGCTTAGCTCTGCATTCGCGCGCAATATGACCTGCTTTATCGCAGTTGTAGCATCTAACCCTGGGCTTAGTCATCCCAACTAACTTTGTCTCTTCTATTACCCGCCTCATGGCGTCTTCGATCGAGTTAACGAGAGATTTGGGTTCGCAACCTTCGGTCTCCAGTTGGCGAATCTTGTGGGTCTGGGGTTTAACAACTATTCTTGCCGTCTCTTGGGCAAGGGCAAACGACACAGTTTCGGAAAATGATGCTTTTGGTGACGCATATGTTGCATACTTAATCTCAGGGTCACGTATGCCATTCACAAAGGTTTCGATTTTCATACGGTCCAGCAATGGGTGATCCTCTCCTGGATACGTCATTAGCACCAAACGTTCCACCTCAGCTGCAAAGTCTTGTAACGTCTCGTTTGCCCTCTGTACTCTTCCCCTTAATTCCATAAGGTAGATGTTTCGTTTATGTTCGCCACCGTACTTACGTTCCAATGCAGCAATAACATCTTCATAGTTGTTTCTAGAAGCGACAGGAATACTCTGTATAACATCAGCAGCACTGCCCTTCAATGCCAGAAGTAGTGCAACCGCTTTGTCGCTGTCGTTCCACGAATTTCTAGAAGCCACTGTCTCGAACTGTAACTTGAAAACATTGAATGACGTAGAGCCGTCGAATACAGGAGGTTTGATTTTTAGTGTGTTATCAGGAACTCGCACCGGACCACCTTTGATTTCCAGTTCCGAAATTTTCTTCTCCAGATTTGTAACCCTATGGTCGTGGGACAGAAATTTCTCGTCAACCGACTGCACTTTCTTATCCAACTCTTTAATTTGGACCTCCACGGTTTCCATTCTCCTTCCAATAACTTCTGTAATGTACTCGAGTTTCTCGTTCGTTATTCTCGAATTTTCTTCGACTCTTCTGAAATTTTCCTCAAACATTTTGGCTAGCATTTCTCTGAAATCGTCACCCCTGGCAGCTACTGACGAGACTTCCCCACCGTTGGATTCGCCCATTTCCGATAAATCCACTTCATCCTTACTGTCAAACTCATATGTATCGATGTTCATACCACGGCGCTCGAACTCATCCAACAGACGTTTTTGTAGTTCAGCCTTGTTGCCAGTAGAGGACAATTCCAATTTATTAAGTTCCTTCTTCAAGTCTTCCACTCGTAGATCCTTAAAGTTCATCGTAGTATTATCGTAATCTCACTTCCGACACCAATTGTTACGTTCTTGGATTTTACTTAATCCCGTGTAGACGTTGTTTTATTTCCCAATACAGCTCGTACCAAATAAAACGCGGGTTCTTTCGGATTACGATTATTACAATGATTTTATTCACACAACTTTACTTTGCACTTTACTTTACTCGACGGTTTCAATTCGCGATCTGATTCACAACTGACTAACTGCCTTTCCATTTCCCCTATTTATATGAGCCTCGCCTGTCGCTACAGAAGTTTCTAGACGATCTGGTAACGCCTAGATTACGAACAATCTACCAATGCAACGAACACATACAAACTTACATTGAGTGAACAATAACAACAACACATACAAACTTACATTGAGTGAACAATAACAACAACACATACAAACTTACATTGAGTGAACAATAACAACAACACATACACAGGCGAGGGGGTAACAAAGAAAGAGGAATTAAGCGATCATCAATGATGACGTTTAACAAGAATTGTACGTCAGCAACAAAATAGAAAATGAAAGAGGAAATGGAAGGATGTAGAAAAATCTATACAGTAGTTGTTGTTGTGAAGTTATTCAAATAAACTGCGTAGTAGAAATTTACGTTACAATTCAAATTCTTAAATTAACGGAATTCATCTAAATTAACTTAAATCTAAAGTTATATTCGTAACAATATGAAAGATTCAATAAATTAAACAATACAAAAAAAATGTTATGACGATGGGTGATGAGTCTGTCCGACATGACGAGACATCAAGCATTTGGTTGGTTGTCACGTATTGTTATGCGTTTGATCAAACAATAATGATATTAGGGATGGTTGTTGTTGTTATAGCAGTAGTACATGCATGTGTTTGCATTCTGCTAATCTGGTTCCAGCTCCAGGTTTAGAAATTCGGCTACTTTAATGGGCTGTAGCCATAGATCTTCTGGAGTGAGTTGGGTAGGTTTGGCTGTCCAATTAAAGAGGGCAGGCGTCACGCACATCTTCATCAATTCGTGCCCAATACGAATTGAGACGACTACACCATCCTGAACGTAATTGCGCCAAAACTACCCTGGTTGGTCTAGGCAGCTGACGTTCTTCAGTTGCAATGGATGAGAGATGGACTCCGAGGACGGCATTTACTTTATAACTGCTAATAGCATCCGCGACTGCATCGGTATGAACGCCACTCAGACCTGCCTGATAGGCTTCTTGATCTAGAGGTTCTCTCTTGTAGCGCTTGACCTCCCTCTCTAGATCATGTATGTCCTTCCTGACACGCCTGGGCGGGGGAGATTTATCCACCATATGATGGTTGGGATGACTCTCACGGTAACACCCAAGGAGGTACTGCAACGAAAGCATATGATTATGCTGACGTAAGGGAAGGACTTTCGCCTCCTCATATAGATGGTCATGAGAAGGCACCCTGTCGCAGTTCTCAGGGCAGCGTTCTGGCAGGTCTGGATATGCTTCCACTGCGTAGCACTAGTATTCGCAGACCACACTGCAGCCGCATAGCTGACCACAGACCGACCTATCGCGTTATAAGAGGTCAACAAGGATTCTTTGTCCGCACCCCAAGAGCTGCCGGCTAGCGCCTTGAGGACCTTGTTCCTACTTTTCATCTTGTCGCAGATAGCTGTAGCTTGCGCGGACGACTTGAAGATGCTGTCGAACGTGAACCCAAAATCTTGGGGTAGTTCGTGGTCGGTATTAGATTCCCCTCGACCTGAATATTCAGCTGTGTTCTCATCTCCGCAGACCATGTGGTGAAGAGTGTGGCCGTTGATTTCGTGGCGGATATTTTCATATTCCTCGCGTGGAAGTATGCGGCAAGTTCCGTGAGATAGGGGTTCAGCCTTTCGCATATGTCATCGACCACTGGGCCCGACGCCATGATCGTACAATCATCCGCATACGTTACGACCTCAGTGCCGTCTGGAGGGTAAGGAATTCCAGAAAGGTAGAGGTTAAACAGTTCCGGAGATATCATCCCACCTTGGGGAACTCCCTGTTTCACTCTACGGGTTTGGACTTCTTGTTCCGGAATTCAACGTACGACTGGCGTCCACACATATAATTGATTATCCAACGTTTCAAACTTGGCCGGAGGGTAGTTCTCTGCACGCCCTCAAACAGTGTGGCATGATTGGTCAGGTTCTGTCACACGGCCTATTCTGGTTCAGTCCTCTACTTATATATGTGGAAATGGCGTGTAATGCTGTTGTGGTACTATGTTGTGGACGGAATCCGTGCTGGTGGTTGGCAGCTGTATAGCTTCCTCTAATGCAGTGGAGGAGTAAAGCCTCAAGAGTCTCAGCTACTGGCGACAAAAGCGAAATCTGCCTGTACGATTCGCCTTTACTGGCAACCTTGCCTGGCTTCAGTAGCGGGACCACCCGGCCCATTTTCCAGGTTTCGGGCACTATGTGGGTGGCTAGCGACAAATTGAGAACTTTCGTTAAGTACTCGACTCCCGGCGTATACAGCTGCTTCATCATTACCATTGAGATTCCGTCCGGGCCCAACGCTTTGGATGACTTAGTCTCACAGATGACATTTGCAACATCACCCATCGTAAACTGTGGTGGTTCCTCCTCGGCGGGAAGAGATCTGATACGACGTAGTACTCTTCGCCCTATCGCTCTCGGGGTGCTCGACAAATTTTCGGTTAAAATACTCCGCGCACCTCTTCGGATCAGTCACTATTTGAAATGTTGGTATCCGAATTGAAAAAAACCATGTTTGGCAAAAGGGCTTACCAAAGGTCATTTCCAGCTAATTTTAAAATAGTTTGGAATCCATTGCTAAAAAATTAAATGTAAACGGTTCAGCAATTAGAGACTGCCAAAAAGTATGTTAAAATTAAAATTATTTTTGTATGTTTTTATTAGTTAGTTTTCTAAAATTCTTCTAGGTTTATAGCGTTTATACGATCCTGATCCTGATGCTACTAAACCGGAAGATTGGGATGATGAAATGGATGGTGAATGGGAGCCCCCTATGGTAGACAATCCTGAATATAAAGGAGAATGGCAACCAAAACAATTCGATAACCCGAACTACAAGGGACGTTGGCAGCACCCTGAAATAGACAATCCCGAGTATAGCCCAGATTCAAATTTGTACCTTCGAAAGGAAATTTGTACTATCGGGTTCGATTTATGGCAAGTTAAGTCAGGTACCATATTCGACAATATACTTATTACCGATGATATTGAAATGGCAACGGAGATTGCTGCAAATGTAAAGAATACTCAAGCTGGGGAACGGAAAATGAAGGAAAAACTGGATGAAGAACAAAGAAAAAAGGATGAGAATGAACAAAAGTTCTCAGATTCAGAAGATGACGATGATAAAGAGGAAATATCTGAAGACAATGGAAATGATCATGACGAACTATAGACATACTTTTAAATTGGAATAATTAAATGAGTTTGAAATAATATTCATGCAATGTTAATTTGTTTTTAATTAATATGAAAGCCAGAAAATATTTTTTCAGCGACTTTATAGCGAAAGGAACTTACTCAAATATAGTTGTGGGCCAGAATATTAATTGCACACTGATGCAAAGAATCATTTTTTTGTGATAAAATTTTAACAAATTTAATTGACAAAAATTGCTACAAAACATTATTTGTGTCGATGTGTCTAATTCAATTCAACATGTATGAACTTGAATAGTATGCGTCTTTGTTACGTTCCTTCGTAAACAAATATGTGTGCAAGTAAAGGAAAGAGATTGTACACATCCACACATGTTTATTGCTTGATGTTCGAATCGCGATCGCGTAGTCACCATGATCCGTACCACACCAGCTCATTGATCATTGGACTTGTGGGTTAAACTTTAAATTTAACAATAAACGTGTCGGAATATTTTAGCTCAAGGTGACGATACCGGATGGAGACTGGGCTGGTTGATCTGCTAGTGAACCTCCTTTGGACGGTATGTGCATATATACAGGTTCCAAGATTGAAGAAGGCACCGGTCAAGGTCTGTCAAAGTTCCATCATTAAATGCTCATAGAAACTCAATGGAAATGGTAAGAGAACGTGGACGGCATTTATGGTATAATTATTGATGACCTCGGTTGGGGGTATTATCAACTAAAGGGCTGCAAATGTGACATATTTCTGTTGATATCTATGCATATTTTGTTATTGAATGAGAATCATATCTGTCCTCATCTAAAATTTTAAAAGGGCATTATACTACGTCATTTTAAAGAATAATTTTTAATTATTAGTTTGGTACTGCATTTTATATTTATGGCGTGTTTGTTCTAAAGGCCTGCACAAGACGAATTGTATGAATTATGCTTTTTTCGACACACTGACTTTGTCTACTCAATCATGCGCTATGTATTTGATAGGCAATGGCAACCAACAACATCCCCCATTTTAATTCATGTGTGCCATTGTCTAAGGTTCGATCGTGTCATGCCTGACTCGAATATTTGCATGGTGTTCTCCATAAATGCAGGGTGTCGACGATGACATCGAACCGTGTCATCGTCAAATTGTGTGTCACTTGTGTACGTGTGCTTAAACTGAGAGAGTGTGTGTGTGTTACTTTCGACGGTGAGCATATGTTTTAGTGTGTGCTGTAATTTTAAAGTAACAAACACAGCGTAAATAATAAATTTAATACCAAATCAATAATTAAAAAATATATTTATCATTATTAGATGAGGTAACAAAATATCCATAGACATCAAAATAGAAAATATACTGGACAATCCCAATTTATTGGCGTCTATCATAAATGTTTGGTCATAAATAAAAGGAAAATATTGTTTGCCTATTTTCTACCTACATATAGTGTTCTTTTAAAATTACAGAATGTGGGCAGAGATATGAATCTCATTCAATAACAGAATATTCACACAATACAACAATGTAAGTATATAGTGTTGTTTACGTGAATTAAAGTAGCACTCATTTTCATTTACACCTCATTACTGGAGGCAAAACTCGTGTTTTTATTAAGAAAATTTGTCAGGTTTTTTTAAATAAGGATTGACAATTTGGACTGTTTCGTCAATAACCACGATATGTGAAAATTTTGGGTGGACCGTTAGAAATACCAGAAATATGTTAGCATTCCAAAGAAATTCTTTATTACAAAAAGTGTATTTTTTTCATACATCGGAAAAAACAGGTAGCGATTGCGCTTTGCCTTCGTTACGTATGTGTCTTTTTCATTTGCAAATGTTTTACCAAAGAAATTCTTTATTACAAAAAATGTATTTTTTCATACATCGGAAAAACAGGTAGCGATTGCGCTTTGCCTTCGTTACGTATGTGTCTTTTTCATGTTATTGTTATTTTTTGGTAGAACATTTTTGTATAACACACTATTCAACATCCCCTTTTATTGGTCATTCATGTTATGAATGTTCGCCGGCGTTAAGTACGGACGCATTTTATTTTTCGTTGCTAATGAAATGTGTTTTTTTTTCACAAGCAAAGCAAAATAAATAATATAAAAGCAAACAGTATGCTACTAAATAAACTCAGGAAACATAATCTAAAAAAACCTGCTAAAAATCCTTTTTATTAAGAATTTTTGCAAAATAGTTTTTTTTTCTACTTTATCCTCTTTTTCCTCAAGCACATAAATCGGTTTGTTATAGTGTTAACAATAACAAGTGTATGTCACTCTCTCATACGGAAGAGAGAAATGTAAGTGAGAACGGGCAAAACGTATACCTTAAGTTGACGTCGACAGATTTCAGCTCAACCGCGCCAAAACGCCACGAAAGCTGGTATCTTACAGCTAAACCCCAAAGCCGTTCTAAATCGGCATCGCCGAGAGTTTTTCATGACGAAAACTTGCCAGATGAGACTACTCCCAACGAAACAACAGAAATGTCATATAAACAAAACAATGTAAACACGCCCAAAATAAATTCAATAAAGGTGCTATCACACGATGCGATTGTACATCAAGAAACTATCGCTTCAAGTAAGCATGCGTCTCTTGAAAAAAACAAGAAGCAAAACATAGTTCCTCCAGGCATGGACCGATATGTCTTAGTAACAAAGCGTAAGGCTAGTTCTAGAACTCCAACCAAGGAACCAAAAGCTAAAACCCAAAAGTCTATAATCAATGACCCCAACAACAGATTCTCAATTCTCGGCTCGAATAACGAGACGGATGAAATGATACAACCGGTTAGATCCCAAAAACCTCCCCCACTATATCTTCGCGAAGAAACTACAAACAATCTTGTGAACAAACTCTCCCAAATATTGGGTAAACCTAATTTTTACGTGGTATCTCTTAAGAGTGGAAATCTCCAAGAGACGAAAATACAAACTTATACTGAGTCGCATTATAAGGACCTAGTTCGAGCTCTGGATTCTGAGAAGAAGAATTATTACACCTATCAGATCAAGAGCTCAAAAGGACTAGTCATCGTCATTAAAGGGCTTCATAGTTCTACAACCATAGAGGACATAAAAGATGCTCTCGCAGCAGAAGGATTCGAAACAAAGTCTATCATCAACATTTTCAATAAAGATAAAGTTCCGCAACCTATGTTTAAAGTAGAACTAACATACGAATCTTCGCAACTAAAGAAAAAGGGACAATTTCATCCAATTTATAGCCTTAGGCTTCTTTGTAATCGCGGTGTGAAAATTGAAGAACCTCAAAAAAGAAAAGGTCAACCTCAATGTACAAACTGCCAAGAGTATGGGCATACCAAAACGTATTGTAAATTGCTATCGGTTTGTGTTACTTGTGGTGACCTCCACAAATCATCGGAATGTCCACATCCCAAAACTGACCCAAGCGTCAAAAAGTGCAGCAATTGCGGTGGAAATCATACTGCAAACTACAGAGGATGTCCTGTATTTATCCACTTAACAAAATCTAGCTTAGCCACAAAAAAACCTACAAGCTACCGGGTACGGGAAAATCCACAATTTAGTATCAAAACAGCAGAGTTCCCTGAGCTAAACAAGAGGAATGAAACCACCGCTCCTAATTACAATCTCCCCTCACAGAATATGCAATACTTATATTCTGATACTTTGAGAAATGACTCACCCAACTATAAAAATTCAAATATAGAATCATCTATCGAAAAACTAATCGTCACCATGAATTCTTTTATGACAAGTATGCAAAGAATGATGCAAGATATTGTGAGAAATCAATCTATGATTATGCAAATAGTTTTAAAACAAAAATAGATAAAATTCGAATATGTTTTTGGAACGCAAACGGCTTAAGCCAACATAAACACGAGGTCGAAAACTTTATTCACTCACTCAACATACACATTTTACTGGTATCTGAAACTCATTTCACTTCTAGAAACTGTTTTAGAATAAATGGTTACAGTACATACGACACTAAACACCCTAGTGGGAGAGCTTGCGGTGGCACCGCGGTGATAATTTCTAATAAAATTCAGCATTACCCCATGCCAGAATATAAGTTTGACCACCTACAAGCTACAACAGTTGCACTATCTTCAACGAATACAGCTATATCTGCTATATATTGTCCTCCGAGACATAGTATAAGCAAAGATGAATTCGCACACTTTTTCTCATCTCTTGGTAGTAGATTCATTGCAGCTGGAGATTATAATGCCAAACACACCTTCTGGGGATCTAGACTTATTACACCCAGAGGTAGACAGCTTTTAAACTCCATTTCGTCCGCTAAACTGGACGTGTTATCTACTGGCCAGCCTACTTACTGGCCTTCAGACCTGCAAAAACGCCCTGACTTAATTGACTTTGCGGTAACAAAGAATATTAAGAGGGAACAAATGTCCGTGGTACCCTCGTTTGACTTGTCGTCAGACCATTCCCCAACTATAATAACATTAAATGATGTTCAACTCGCAACTTCCCCGGATTATCTACCAAATAAATATACAAACTGGATGAAGTACAAAAATATGTCAGTACACATGTGAATTCTAACACTCCTCTAAAGTCCGAGAAGAAATTGACAATGCAGTTATAATATTTACTTCGATAGTCAACACCGCTGTCAATGTTGCCACTCCCACTAAATTTTCAAAACTAGAAAATAATTCCTATAATCCATCGACCATTCGAAAACTCGTGTCTGATAAAAGGAAGGCCAGAAGAGAATGGCAGAAGCACCGATCACCTAGGTTTAGGGAAAAACTAAAAGAATGTGAAAAACTCTTACAACAAGCACTCAGATTAAATGAAGAGCGAAACCTAAAAATATTCCTAAATAACCTGGATACCACCGAGAGAACTGACTACAGCTTATGGAAAGCCACAAAAAACTTGAAAAGACCTATCGCCCACGAATCTCTAATTCGCCTAGAAAATGAGACTTGGGCAAGATCTACAGAAGAAAAAGTAAACGCATTTGCCGAACACCTTGAATCTGTATTTAC